GGAATACTCTGTTGCCCTGGCTGCTCACCAAATTTACCCAGGAAAGGCCAAAACAAATAGCACCATTGAGAGACCTTACAAAATGGTTGTCACTTTGCCAGAAGCTCCAGGCAACTCACAAGCCCTCAGGGGGTCTCTAGGGATTAGTTGAGCCTCACATTCAAGTCTCCAGACTCTCTGGAACTCTGCTGCCCAAGGATCAATGCTCTTCTCATAGGCGGAAGGTAAGGATAATTTCAGGATGATTTTTCTGACTCATTTACAGAGCTTGCCCATGGCCTCTGAGTATGACAGAGATAAAGACAATGTCCTTTCAAGTGCAGATGGGTAGGTAAATGACTGCCCAGTAACACCGGGAAACCAACAGCACTTCAAACGTACTGAGTAATATATAAGCCCGCCCAATGAAACACATGGTACAGTATTTTTGGGTAATGTTGGGCTTAACTAACAATGGACAACCACTAGAAGGCCTTGAGAAGAAGAGTTGTGTTTTTAAGAGGTTATTCTGGCTGCCCTGCAGAATACAGACTGGAGAGGATAAGAATGGGAGGGATGAGATGAGTCTGGAGTCCACGATAGAGGTATCAGTAAAAGAAGATGGTGCTTGCTCTAAGGTGCTGGCATGTGCACAATGTCTACAAGAAAAGTGTTCCACTTCACAAGAGTTTATCTGAGGACCTTTTTTGTGGCAATAATCACATAGCATAACCGATTACAAAGGCCACTTCTAATACCCTAACATACAACTGTGTCATCTGTATATAAGAATGTGCCTATTAGCTAATCTCTCTGTCCTTCAATTTCCTCTTCCATAAAATGGGTTAATCATTCTACTTACCCCTTGAGGTTGTTTTTGAGAATTGAAAACATTAATACATGTTAGAGTTTTGCACACAGAAAATATAAATAAATACAGCTATTTTTAACTTTATCTCCTCTATATTACAGATTGACAAAAGGGAGGATGTAAATAAAAGTTTTTCAGAATCTGCATAATATCACTGGATTTTACATTAGAATGTAAAAGAAAGGATAAAAAGACAACCTTGTTTACCCCATCAATAAATATTATGAACCAGTCTTTCTATTTATTGACTCTGACCTCATAGATTGTTGCTATTGAACAAAAATTCAGTTTAGCTCATGGCTGATTCCTGTCCTCAGATTCAAAACAGAGAAGTCTTTGAAAGACATAAGCAATATTTTGTTATCCTAACAATTTTCCTTACAGGAAGAAAGTGAGGGTATTTTTTCTTTTCTTGTGTCTTAAGGAATCTTTTGACAGTGCCCATGGCTCCCCCATGGCTCCAGCTCTTGGTAGCACACCCCAGGCCTTGCCCCCAGAAATCACTGGCCCCCTCATCATGGGGACTCATCCTGAGTCCAGCTTCTGGTTTTAGGCAACCACATATTCATATGTTGTCCTTTCCAACTGAGAGTGATTAGAACTTCTCTGGGTTGCCTTAACAAACCCTTGTTTAGCCTCTGTTTTCCATCACCTGGGTGATCAATTCCCTGTATTTGAAGGATTTAGAGTGGCTTCTGTTTTTCTGGCTAGTTGCTGAATGATAGAATAGTCATGGAACTGATTCAGTAGAACACACTGGCAAAGATCAGAGGCCACTATTCACAGAATTACATAGAGAGGAGGGAATTTGGGGGAGATACTTTACCTACCATGAACTTTCAAAATCAGTTTAAATAATGTTTAAAGTTTTGTTATAAAGATATGGCTGCTGGAGCACCAGGCTGGCTCAGTCAGTAGAGCTTAAGACTCTTGATCTCAGGGTTGTATGTTTGAGCCCACGTTGGGTGTAGAGATTACTTAAAAAATAAAATCTTAAAAAAAAAATAAAGACATGGCTGTTTATTTTAGAAAAAATATCAAAAGTGTCAAAAATAAAAACATTTCTATTAATAACTATTAATATATGCCTCCTATATTTACTGTGTATTTTATAGTAGTATTTGGGATATCTGATGGGGGAAACAGTATTTGCTTTTAACCCACTAAATTTCATCTCATTAGGTCTGAGCTATTTAAGATAGAATAGATACCAGCTTAACATTAATTTTATGACAGCACAGCTTGAAAGAGGTGAGAAGGAGAGGAATGGGGATCTATTAATCAAGATTCATTTGATCCCCCTCTTCCACTAAATGAAAGACTAGCAGGAGGCAGTAGCAGTTATTCTGGGAGGAACAAGCAGGCTTTATAATCCAGATGCTTTCTGCTAGCATCAAACAAGAAAACACAGAGGAAGAGAGAAGATAGTTCCTTTCAAGGGCAAAATGGATATATTCCTTTGAAATATACTGAGGCTACCAACTTCATATTCCATCTGAATTCCTAACTAGTTTCCCTTCAAAGACACATCTGTTGAGCTTTTTCTTTTTATCCATGAACACTGTTTGTACATTGCATATAAGACTACCAAGATGTTGCTCACATGACTTCAATTTAACCTTACAAATCAATGATATTCTTCATGATAACCAGATTATTCCAAAGACCTCAAAAAATGTGAATTAAATGTTCAAGAATCACTCAAGTTCAAAGAACTTATGTCCAAAAATATAAAATATTCTAGAATTTGAAAGAATGTAAAGTGTTTATCACATCAATCATTCAGTCAGCCAAGAAAGTCTATACGCCAACCAACAATCATTGGGAATTCATCTATAAAAATCATCATTAAAATGCCCTCCTTAATTTCTCTTTCATTACTTGCTTTCTTGTTAGTGGCTACTCTATTACTTTGGATTCCAGAAAGAATCAAATTGCAAATGGGGGTCTTGCCCTCAAAGGGAAAACTTCCTTAAGTTTCACAAAGGCTACAGACAGCCTGCCTTCTGTGCTGGAGGTCAGAGAAGAGCGGAGCAAACTCACTTCACTCTTGCTGCTCAGGCAGAGTTGAGTCGGCAGCTCTCTCCTAATGACTGAATTCCAAGGCCAAATAGTTCTGCAACTACTTGTTGCATTAGCTTCCGTCTCATGGAGCACAATTTGGAGTGTTCCATTTTTTAAAAGATTTAAAATAATAATGTTTTACAACTTTCTATTAGAGTAGTTTAAAATCAGAATATGTTATCAAAGGCTATCTCAGTTTGAAGTTGATAATAAAGCATCAAAAAGCATTACAGTGTAATTAACATTTTCCACTGGAAAGCTCTATCTCTTGCTTCTTCTTCCTCTTTCTCCTCTTCTCCTTTCTCCCTTTCATTTCACTTCTCTTCCTTTCTTCTCTCCTCTTCTTTCTTATTTCTTTATTTAGCATAAACTTGGTCCCTAACACTCCCTCAAGTTCCAACCCCAGTCCTACTTATTTCCTTCTCCACCAAACATCTTAAAATTTTATGTATACTCACTTCCTTGCTCTTCAAACCACTTGAAATTGAGACTTCACCACCACATTTAAAATTTCAAATTGTTGGAGTGCCTGGATGGCTCAGTTGTTTTAAGCATCTGACTCATGGTTTCAGCTCAGGTCATGATCTCACAGTTCATGAATTCTAGCCCCATGTCGGGCTGCGTGCTGACAGTGTGGAGCCTGCTTGAGATTCTCTCCCTCTCTCTCCACCCCTGCCCCATTTGTACTCTCTCTCTCTCAAAACAAACTCAAAAAAATTTTTTTAAGTTAAATTGTTAATTGTGAAAGTTAGTGACACTATCCCAGTTACCAGCAATTGACGAAATTAATAATGACAATGTTAAAGTATTATTTAAAAAATTCATTCACATTCATTCAAATTGGAAACTAATTATGATGTACCACATCCCAAATGTAATCTAGACACTATACTTGGATTATAATCAGGTTTTGTATTCACATAACAAAATTTCTGTAAATATCAGAATAACTCACTTGGAGTGATAGACTAGTCAGGGCCGTAGGTTTACTAGGGGGGAAGCCTGGGTGTCCCTTAATTGTCATTCTCAATCACAGGAAATAAAGAAATGAAGCCTAAGGGAAGGAGGCCTTATGATGGTGTGAGGAAATAAATATTTAGGGCTGGTAGTCTATGTGGAAATTCTGGTGGTGGGGGTGAACTGCCTGGTCATGTGGCAGCTGAGAAGATAAAGCTGTAAGTCGGTGGCCCTGGACCTAGAATAGTTGTAAAGATTCTATGTGTTTTCCTTCCATTGCATCATCCCTACTCTTTCACTGCTTTTTTTAAAAAGGCATATCCTGGTCTCAGTTGTGCAAGGAGTACTTAGAAAAAGATCTGTGTCTAGGTCTGAACTGAAAAGGTAGTGAATGCAGCATTGCCTCCCCCAAGTCTGGAATGGGCAGAGTGGCAGTATCAGCAGCATCAGAGGCGGCAGCTCAGGGGGATAATGAGGAGGCCTCGCAGAAGAACCAGGCAGAAGTGGCCTTGTTTCTATGTACCTCTGAGGCAATAATCAGAAACTCAGGAAAAGCTGAGGGATTTGGTTCCTGACAGAAGCAATGGGAGGTCAAATCATTGTGCCTTGGATTGCATTTATGTCCATATCAAATTTAAAGAAGATTAAAACTAATTCATAGGAACTCCGGTAACAGAAAACTATACGGTGAATTTTATGGATTTTAATCCAACCCAGTAAATATCCATTCAGTGTTTTTTTATGTATAGGGAAGGAAGTTATAGACTGTGTTCTTGAGGAATTTACAATACAAAATTCCAAAGAAGAAGAGAATTAATAAAGGCCTTAAAAGTAGTTCAGAATTTAACGGCCATACACAAGGAAGAAAATCTTATTTCTGAGATGGGGATTCAGGTAAGGTTTAATTGGCATCACGAAGGGGGCAGTGATGATGGAATCCAAAGAAGTCTCATGCACACCTCATGCACCAGTTGGAAACTAGGCTTAGGTATAAGCAACAGAAAGCCCAACGTGAGTTAACCAAATTAAACTTTAGTCTTTTTACCCAACAAGCATTTCTGGACAGGTGACAGTGCAGCAGCTCTCAGTACTGTCAACACCCCAGGCTCTGTCGCCTTTTTTCCTCTACCTTCCTTAGTGTTCCAACTCCCATCCTGACAGTTCCAGGATGATTCCTGCTTCACTAGGCATCTCGGCTCTTGCTTCCTAAAGGAGAAGGAGGAAGAAAGAGATATGGAAGAGATAAGAAAATGTTGCCAAAACCACCACTTAGGTCTCCTTGGCTAGAAGTATGTCAAAAGGGCTCACCCCTTGTTTTCAGCGAGATTAAGATATGTAGTTTTTGTGTTCTTTTTGTTTTAGCTGGTCACACTGTTATCCCCCTTCCAAAAAATAAAAATTAGGGTTCTGCTAAAGAAAAAAAGCTGGAAAGAGTATTAGATTAGTAACTATTAAGATGTGCCAACATCCCACTTATTAATTCTGCAGCCTAGGATAAAAATCAACTAACATTTCTGTATGGCAGTTTCTTTACCTGTGAAATGGTTATAATAATATCTTCCTAGTAAATGTTTGGGTGAGGATCAGGGACCATGTATTCAAGATGTTCAATATAGTCCTGACAAGTTAGAAGAGCATAATAGAGTGTAGCTGCTGTTACTGTTTAATTGGTTTTTTGTTTGGTTTATTAGAAATTGAAGGAGGAGTCCAATTTCAATACATAAATACTGGAAGAATAAAATTTTAGATGAAGGAAACAAGATCACAAAAACATGGACTTAGAAAAAAATAAGTAAGGGGTGCATGGGTGGCGCAGTTGATTAGGCATCTGACTTTGGCTCAGATCATGATCTCATAGTTCGTGAGTTCAAGCCCTGCATCAGGCTCTGTGCTGACAGCTCAGAGCCTGGAGCCTGCTTCGGATTCCATGTCTCCCTCTCTCTGCCCCTCCCCTGCTTGTGTTTTTTTTTCTTATTCTCTCTCTAAAATAAATAAAATAAACATTTAAAAAATATGTAAGAAAATTTAGAGCGTGTTCAGGAAATTTTACATAGTTTAGGAAGACTATCACTCATGTGAAAGGGAAAAAGTGAATGGTAATACTAGGAGGTCAGTATTCTGGGTCATATGATGAGTGTTGGCAGTGGGGGGCGGGGCTGGAACAGGGGTATAAGAGGCAGGCCAAAGGGTTTGATGCCTCGGCAGATAATGTGGAAGCACTGAAGTTTTCAACACAAGATTAAGTCCAAGCTATGCTTCATGCTGACCACTGTGACAGCAGTGCATACGATATACTTGGCAGCTGGAGAAAAACCACAGCAAGAAGAGTAGGGGAATTAATTTATACCCAAACAAAACATAATAAAAGCCTGAAGTGGGATAGCAGCAACAGAATAGAAAAGAGGAACTGATTCAGGAGTCATTTTTAAAACATTACTTACAGAATTTGGCATCCAACAGAATAGAAAAGGTCAGGGAAAAGACGGTGCCAAGGTAGTGAGCTAAACTTCAAGCTTCGTGGTGTCATTAGCCAGGGTGGAGGGTAGAGAGCAGGCCAGGGAGAGAGAGGACCACATTAAAAAGGTGGAAGGAAAGAATGGAGAGGGAGGCTGAGGGGAGAGATGGAAAAATACTGAGAGTAGAAACATTTAGTCATGTAAAATAAGATGTATAAAAACGGTTATATTCCAAGGGGTTGTTTAATCCATAAAAGGAATTTTCTCAGGCGAAGTAATGAATCTGTGAGAGCAAGATGCCTAATCCGAGTCATGCGCTAATCTGACTGTGTGGGGAGGCACCACCCATGTGCACTTTAGAACATGTACTTGCTGTTCAATGGCATTAGCATAGAAATAGTCCAAAAGTATGCAAACGTGTTTCTGAAGAAAATTCCCACTACTTAGTCTTTCACTCTTGTTAGGATGCAAAATTATTCCTCTGGAAATATTTGGGCACGGTTTGTCCTTCCTAGAGGCAGAGGAATGAGTTAATTTACCTCCTTAGGATCCCTCGCAACGACGTTCAGATCTTGTGATCATGGGCTCTGGGCTCAGTTTCAGCAGTTAATGGTCACAATGGAAACCCAAAGCGAAAGCAGACTGGGGAATCACTGCTGGAATCAAGGCGCTTTGTCACTTTGAGAAGAACAGAGTAAGGAACATAAGTGGTCTATTGACAGAATTGTTTGCTTATCATTTTTGGCACCTGTCATTTAAAACCGGGCAGGAAACACCTTTGAAAAATGATAATCCCAAACAGTTTAGACTTAATACAGTACTTTCATCTCTGTTTCTGGGATTTGGGGTCATTTAGATTTTAACACTCTAGCCATAAACCATCTAAATACATTCTTAAGGTTGCAGTAAGGGATAATTAGATTCTAGGATCATAGTTTTGAAGAATTTATACAGACACAAATCTTTTCAGTAATTATTCAGTATTATTTCAAGTCAAATGCTAGTTTGTTTCAAACTTCAGAAACCCCTTTGAAAAATTTTATGTGTTTTCTTCCAGTATCTTGGTTTACTTTAGAGATACTCATTTCCCCATAAATGAAGTCACTGGAATTTATTACCGAATTTAATTTGGTACCTGCTCTGCCCTAGACACTTCATCAGCACTGATGTAAAAAGGTACAATCTGATTATGCTAAATTATCTCACCTGTGATTAGGAATAACTCGTTTCAGGAGTCAAAGTGATTGTAAATAAATTCGTATTAGAGGGCTGAATAATTGCAAATCATGTTTTTCTCATCTTTAAAAAATTTTATTACACGTGAGGTTACAGGTCCCATGAGTTTATGGCACTTAACCTAAAGGCAGTAAAAGTGCTAAGCTGGGTATATAATGATATTCGTAAGTCACCTTATACTAGAAAAAGACTGTTGGTAGCTGCCTACAATGAAACTAAACTGTCCTCTTTCCTCCTTCATAGTTGTGCAAGTACACTGTTAGTGGGAATCTCACTTGAGGTTCCTAACTGCTAAAGTAATAATATCTTGTATGTATACAAGACCTTCCTTGTAGAGTTTTTTGGCCAAAAAAAAAAAAAAAAAAAAAACAATTGGAGATTTTTGTTACTATCTCCTTCTACATTCCCATAACCACATATTTTATAGGCTTAAAAATTAAAGATTAAGTCAAGGTCATCCAGTGAGAGATTAATTTTTTAATGCAAAGGCTAGTGTTCCATTCATTATCTTATCTCTATTACCTTAAAAATCACATTTAGCATGTATCATAAGTTAAAACTTTGTAAATCACCGGTTAGCATCTGACTCAAGGTATCATGCCTCACAAGCAGCTTTCTTAATAAACCCATTTGCTCAGCATATAACGCCAAGCTAAAAGAATTTAAAGAACTCGGATTAGGTTGCTTTTTAGTAGTTCTCATTGTGACTTACTAAATTAAATGACAAATTGAAATGCAGCTGAAATAACTCCGGAACTGGTTCTGTTATGGTTAATTAAAAGGTTTCAATCTCTAATGCTCATCTCTGGAACGTTTATTTTCGTGAAAGTGAGTTCTGTTCAACAAGTACTAATGAGACATTTGTAGGGTTAAAACTTTGCATTTGAATTTTTTTTTAAGAAAATCACAGCAACCAGTTCAGAGAAGTATGGGGTATGGATGGGATGCCAATTAATGCTATTCAAATTGGCATTCATTCCAATTAGCGCTATTGATCTTCAAGTACATGCCAGAGCGTGTTCAGGCTCTTTCATAAACATTATGACATTTAATTCTCCTTCAAACATGATGGGGTAGGCATGGCAAACTCTGTTTCATAAATGACAACATTTCAGGACTCTGAGATTTAGTTTGATGTTTTGTCCACAAGCTTCACGGTAGCAAAACAAGTTGTCTGAACCTTGCATGGGGACCCAAGGATAGACTAGCATATAGTATTTATTCTAATGATAATATTTATCATGAATTGGTTAATTCATTTATAAATTGGGCTGATATTATTAGCAAACAAATAAAGTTATACTTGAATAAAATGAAACTTCAGCAGGGCTGTGGCAATGGAACATATTGTGGACTTTTATATATTTCTATATGGCTTAAATGTTATTAGAGTAAATGGTAATTGTAACTAAAAACAAGCAAAATACAAGAAAATGGAAGGAAAACTTTGGTTAGATTTACCTGAAGTCTGGGACTGTCCACTTATTTTAATTTGATACTGGGTCTTCATACTATGTGTGGTGGAAATCAAGAACAACAAGAACAACAACAATAATAATTGAAAACATGTATGTTGTATATATTCAAACATGTTACTGCATGGCATGTATGTCCTATATATATCAACTCATTTAATCCTCACAACCCTTTGAACTAGAGATAATTGTTATCGCCATTTTAGAAATGAGGAAATCACAACACAGAGAGGTTAAAGAATCTTCCAAATTTACACATATAGGAAGTACACACATCCCAAGCAGTATGCCTCATAAACACAGGCCATTTAACACCTACTCCCTATTGTCATACATGTTGGAACTCCCCTATGGTCTAGTCCAATGACTATTAGGTAATGCATTGTTTTGATAGTTGCACTTTGGCACTGAAATCACAGCTTCCTAATCCTGACCTCATTTAGAGAGAGCCAAATTACGTTTAATTCTCAATTCAGTACATATTTGTTGGGACCCTGTCAGGTGCCAGATAATCTTCTGGATGCTTGGATGTATCAGCTACCTTTGGGCAACTGAAGTGGTAGAAGAAGAAAAAGAAATTATTTGCCTGAATTCTTCATAAAGTAGAGTCCGTGATCAAGACTTCTTATAAATGTAAGTGGATAATTTAGGAGTATTATCTGAGTGGACAAAATTAGGGACAAGAGGAATAAAAGAAGTATGGGTGAGGAATCAATTAATGGATGCAGTAAGTTGGCCACCACTCTTATTCTATACCTAAGAGAAACTTTGTAAAAGGCATACAGGAACATTTGCCTTAGGGAACTAAATGCCCAACTCCCTGGCCAAGGATAGCCCTGCAGGATCAAGTTCCCCCACATTCATGTTACACTAATTTTGAATCCAGCAAGTTGCCAAAGGAAGTCTGCACTGTCAGAGAAGCCCTAAGACGGTAATTTAGGATGGAAGTCTGAGGTAAGGCACTTCATGCCTGAGTCAGACTGCAACTACATGAAACTGATCAAAGTCTGCAGGCATAAATGACAACATTTCAGGATTCTGAGATTTAGTTTGATGTTTTGTCAAACTAAACATGAGTTTAGTTTGGGGTTCATGAGATCGAACCCCACACTGGGCTCTGTGCTATCAGTGCAGAGCCTACTTGGGATTCTTTCTCTCTCCCTCTCTCTCTACCCCTCCCCTGTGCTCTCTCTCTCAAAAATAAATAAATAAAAACTTAAAAACAAAAGCCCACAGGGAACCAGCGGCCACTGCCAAAGCCAGAATCATAGGTGAGGCCAGCAGGATTGAGAGCTATGTATCAGCTAAGCAATATAACAATGAAAAAACATAAGAAAATAACAGTATTTGAGAAAGTGACAAATGCTATTGATAAACAAAAACCAAAATAAGGCAGTTAAGGAGATTTGGAATGAGAATGGTGAAAGAATTAGGCTGAAACCTAAATACAGTGGTCAGCATTGCCTATAATTGAACAATGACTTGAAGAAGGTGAAGGAACATGTCACGCAGATAACTGAAACTTGAAAATATTCTGAATACTGTCAATTATTAAGAACTGTTGAGGAAGGGAGTTAAGATGACAGAGAATCCTGCAGACCCTGAGCTTGTCTTGTCCCTGAAGCATAGCTAGATCAGCATGAAACCATTTTGAACACCTAGGAAATTGATATGAGGATTAACACAACAATCCACATAACTTGGCCACAGAACTCAGCAGGTACATGTGTGGAGAGGTGAACTAAAGGACAGAAAAGCCGCAGAGGCTAAGGAGCTGTTTTTGCAGAGAGAGGACAGAGAAAAAGAATGCGGGAGAGTGCAGTGCATCAGGATTGTGCAAGAAAAGCACTCCCCCAAAAGTAGCTGGAAAGAAAGAGAATGAGTGTAAGCACTCACAGGGGACTGAACAAGAAATCTGTTCCACAAAACCATTTATAGGAAAAAGGAGAGTTTCAATGCCACCAGCATTCTATAAACTGTGGAGCACAGAGTCTGAAGTTTTGGAGCTCAGTGCCTGGTGGTGCTCTGGTGAGGAAATAGGGTGAATCCCCAAGAGCAGGCAGCAGGGTCTGAGGGGACTGTGTACCACATGGGGAGAAGTGGTTCCCTGTTTGGAGTGAAATTTGGTAGAGGCAATATGGCCTCTCCACAGGCAAAGGTCCCAGCAGACCCTGGAGAGCAGCCACGTTTGCTGGTATTGGGACAAAGATGCCAGAGTGCAGTGAAACCTGGCATAGGCTGTGTGTTGTGACTTGCCATAAGTCTCTGAACCTCTGCCACTACACAATTGCATGAATGTTTTCTGGGGCAAGCAGGCACCCAGGCATTGCTCAACAAGACCCTCCCCCAGAAAGTCAGGGCAAGTCCAAGCCACAGGGGGTCTCTGAAGCATGGGTTTTTAAAACACAACCCGATCTGAGACAAACTCTGGAGGGAGGTGCCATCTGGCAGACAGATAGATTTGATATGGACAGGGTAGAGGCAAGGAGTGGACAGAGGCCTGAGACAAAGGAGGGGTACTTGATCGTGGACTGGTGAGAGCAGGAAGTTCCTGTGCCAGAGACTAGGGAGTTGGATGAAGCCATTTCCACCTCTCCCATGTACCACATTGATCCACTCAAGTAAACTAAGCAGTGCCACCTAGTGGAGAACAGAGCTGTTACACTAAGCCCTGCCCAACTGTGTCCTCCAAGCACATCCCCTAGAAGACCAGCACAAGTCACTCTACCTGCTTAGTGTACAGACTATAAAAGTCTTCACAGTTTCAGTTCTAGGGGAAAATGGATGTAACTTCATTCAGCTTTCATTCTGTTTGCTGGTTCATTTACTTGTTCATTTTCTTTGCTTCTGTTTTTCCTTGAATTATTTTCTTTTTTTCTTTTTTTCTTTCCTTTACTTCTCTCTTCCTCATTCTTGGATACAAAAAGAGAAATTTTTATTTTTATTTTATTTTTAATTTTTTGTTCGATTTCATTTTCTTTATTTCATCTTATTCTATTTTATTATGTTTTTTTTTAATTTTTAAAGTTTTTCTTACCTTTTTTTCCCTTTTCTTCCCCTTTTTTCTTTATTCTATCAAGCTTCTTTCAACAAGCAGAGCAAAACACACCTAGGACCTACCTTACTTTATTTGATTTTTTTGTTTTTGTTTTTGTTTTTAATTTTCATTTTTTATGTTATTAATTTTTTTTTTTCTCCAAAGTGACAAAATGAACAAATTTACTCCAAGAGAAAACAGAAATGACATCCAGGGATTAATCAACACAGATACAAACAAGATGTCTAAAATAGAATTTAGAACCATGATAATAAAAAGAATACTAGCTGGGGTTGAAAAAAAACCACGGAATCCCTTTCTGTGGAGATAAAAGAAATAAAATCTAGTGAGGACAAAATTAAAAATGCTATAACTGAGATGCAATCTTGAATGGCTGCCACGACAGCAAGGATGGTTGAAGCAGAGCAGCAAATCAGTGATTTAGAAGATAAAATTATGGAGAATAATAAAGCAGAAAAAAAGAGAGAAACAGAGGAAAGGATCATGATAGAAGACTTAGAGAACTCAGTGACTTATTAAAAAGGAATAACATCCAATTCATAGGAGTCACAGATGATGAAGAGAGAGAAAAAGGGGCAGAAGGTTTATGTGAGAAAATTATAGTGGAAAACTTTCCTAATCTGGGGAAGGACACAGACATCAAAATCCGAGAAGCACAGAGAACTCCCATTAGAGTCAACAAAAAAAAAGGCCATCACTAAGGCATATCATAGTCAAATTCACAAAATACACAGATAAGGAAAGAATTATGAAAATAGCAAGGGGGAAAAAGTCCTTAACCTATAAGGAAAGACGGATCGGGTTCACAGCAGACATATCCACAGAAACATAGCAGGCCAGAAAGGAGTGGCAGGATATATTCAACGTGCTGAATGAGAAAAATATGCACCAAGAATTCTTTATCCAGCAAGGCTGTCATTCAAAATAGAAGGAAAGATAAAGAGTTTCCCAGACAAACAAAAACTAAAGATGTTCATGACCACTAAACCAGCCCTGCAACAAATTTTAAGGGGGACTCTCTGAGAGGAGAAAAGATAAAAAAGAAAAAAACAAATAAACAAACAAAAGCAACAAAGACTAGAAAGGACCAGAGAACACCACCAGAAACACAACTCTACAGGCAACATAATGGCAATAAATTCATATCTTTCAGTACTAACTCTAAACGTCAATGGACTAAATGCTCCAATGAAAATACATAGGGTGTCAGAATGGATAAGAAAACAAGACTCATCTATATGCTACTTGTAACAGACTCATTTTAGACGTAAAGACTCCTGCAGATTGAAAGTAACAGATGAAGAACCATCTATCATGCTAATGGTTGTCAAAAGAAAACTCGAGTAGCCATACTTATAACAGACAAACTAGATTTTAAAATAAAGACTGTGACAAGAAATGGAGAAGGGCATTATATTGTAATTAAGGGCTCTATCTACCAAGAAGATCTAACAATTGTAAACATTTATGCCCCCAATGTGGAATACCCAAATATATCATTCAATTAATCACAAACATAAAGGAGCTCATAGATGATATTATAATAGTAGGGGATTTCAAAACCCCACTTACACTGAGGGACAGATTATCTAAGAAGAAAATCAACAAGGAAGCAATGGCTTTGAATGACACACTGGACTGGATAGATTTAACAGATATATTCAGAACATTTCATCCTAAAGCAGAATACACATTCTTCTCGAGACAAATGGAACATTCTCCAGAATAGATCACATACTAATTCATAAATCAGCCCTCAACAAGTAGAAAAAGATCGAGTTCATACCGTGCATATTTTCAGACCACAATGCTATGAAACTTAAAATCAACCACAAGAAAAAAATTTGGAAAGACCATGAATACTTGCAGATTGAAGAACATCCTGCTAAAGAATGAATGGGTTAACCAAGAAATTAAAGAGGAAGTTAAAAAGTACATGGAAGTCAATAAAAGTGAAAACATGACAGCCCAAAACCTTTGGGATGCAGCAAAGGTGGTCAAAAGAGAGAAGTATGTAGTCATCCAGACCTTCCTAAAGAAGGAAGAAAGGTCTCAAATACACAGCCTAACTTACACCTAAAAGAGCTGGAAAAAAGAACAACAAACAAAACCCAAAACCAGCAGAAGGGAAATAATAAAGATTAGAGCAGAAACCAATGCTATCAAAATAAATAACATAACATAATATAACATAACATAACATAACATAACATAACATAACATGACATAACATAACATGACATAAACAAAACAAAACAATAGAACAGATCAATGAAACCAAGAGCTGGTTCTTTGAAAGAATTAACAAAATTGATAAACCCCTAGCCAGATGGATCAAAAAGAAAAAGGAAAGGACCTGAATAAATAAAATCACGAATGAAAGAGGAGAAATCATAGCCCACACCTCAGGAATGCAAATAATAATAAGAGAATATTATGAGCAATTATATGCCAACAAATTGGGCAATCTGGAAGATATGGAAAAATTCCTAGAAACATATAAACTACCACAACTGAAACAAGAAGAAATAGAAAATTTGAACAGACCCATAACCAGTAAAAGAATTGAATCAGTAATCCAAAATCGCCCAACAAACAAGAGCTGGATGGCTTTCCAGGGGAATTCTACCCAACACTTAAAAAACAGTTAGCACCTATTCTTTAGAAGCTGTTCCAAAAAATAGAAATGGAAGGAAAACTTCCAAATGCATTCTACAAGGCCAGCATTACCTTATTCCAAAACCAGAAAAAGACCCCACTAAAAAGGAGAACTACAGACCAATTTCCCTGATGAACATGGATGCAAAAATTCTCAACAAGATACTAGCAAACCGGATCCAACAATACATTAAAAGGATTATTCACCATGATCAAGTGGGATTTATTACTGGGATGCAGGGCTGGTTCAATATCTGTAAATCAATCAATGTGGTACATTCATAAAAGAAAGGATAAGAACCACATGATCCTCTCAATAGATGAAGAAAAAGCAATTGACAAAATACAGCATCCTTTCTTGATAAAAACCCTCAGTATCATAAAAGCCATATACAAAAGACCCACTGCTAATATCATCCTCAATGGGGAAAAAATCAGAGCTTTCCCCCTAAGGTCAGGAACACGACAAGGATGTCCACTCTCACCACCGTTATTCAACGTAGTGTTGGAAGTCTAGCCTCAGCAATCAGACAACACAAAGAAATAAAAGGCATCCAAATTGGCAAAGAGGAAGTCAAGCTTTCACTCTTCACAGATGACATGATCCTCCATGTGGAAAACCCAAAAGACTCCGCCAAAACACTGCTAGAACTGACCCATGAATTCAACAAAGTCATAGGATATAAAAATCAGTGTGCAGAAATTGGTTGCCATTTCTATACACCAATAATGAAGCAGCAGAATGACAGATCCAGGAATTGATCCCATTCACAACTGCACAAAAAAGCATAAAATACCTAAGAATAAACTTAACCCAAGAGATGAAAAATCTATACACTAAAAACTACAGAAAGCTTATGAAAGAAGTTGAAGAAGACACAAAAAAATGGAAAACAGTCCATGCTCATAGATTGGAAGAACAAATATTGTTAAAATGTCAATACTACCCAAAGCAATCTATATATTCACTGTAATCCCTATCAAAATAACACCAGAATTCTTCACAGAGGTGAACATACAAACCTAAAATTTGTATGGAACCAGAAAAGACCCCAAATAACCAAAGCAATCCTGGAAAAGAAAACCAAAGCTGGAGGCATCACAATTCCCGACTTCAAGCTGTATTATGAACTTGTAATCATCAAGTCATTATGATACTGGCACAAAAACAGGCACATAGATCATTGGAACAGAATAGAGAACCCAGAAACGGACCCACAAAATGTAAGGCCAACTAATTTTTGGCAAAGGAGGAAAGAATATCCAATGATAAAAGACAGTCTCTTCAACAAATGATGTTGGGAAAACTGGACAGTGACATACGGAAGAATGAAACTAGACCACTATCTTACACCATAATAAATAAAATAAACTCAAAATGGATGAAAGATCTAAATGTAAGACGAGAAGCCATCAAAATCCTAGAGGAGAAAACAGGCAACAACCTCTTTGACCTTGGCCACAGCAACTTCTTACTTGACATGTTTCCAGAGGCAAGGGAAACAAAAGCATAAATGAACTATTGGGACCTCATCAAGAAAAGGAGCTTCTACACAGTGAAGGAAACAATCAGCAAAACCTAAGAGGCAACTAATGGAATGGGAGAAGATATTTGCAAATGACCTATCAGATAAAAGGTTAGTATCCAAAATCTATAAGGAAGTTACCAAATTCAACATCCAAGAAACAAATAATCCAGTGGAAAAAAATGGGCAAAAGACATGCATAGACATTTTTCCAAAGAAGACATCCAGATGGCTAATAGACACATGAAAATATGCTCAACATCACTCATCATCAGGGAGATACCAATCAAAACCCTAATGAGATACCACTTCACACCTGTCAGAATGACTAAAATGAACAACTCAGGCAACAACAGATGTTGGTGAGGCTGTGGAGAAAGAGAAACCCTTTATGTATGAGGGTTCTTCAAAAAACTGAATATAGAACTACCCTATGACCCAGCAATTGCACTACTAGGTATGCAAAGAATACAGGAGTGCTGATTCGAAGAGGCACATGCACCCCAATATTTATAGCAGCACTATCAACAATAGCCAAATTATGGAAAGAGCCCAAATGTCCATTGGCCAATAAATGGATAGAGAAGATGTGGTTTATAAATACAATGGAATATTACTTGGCAATCAAAAATAATAAACTCTTGCCATTTGCAATAACGTGGATGGAATT